GTTGCAAAGGACTTTAATTATGGGGAAGTATCAGTAAGCATCCTTAAAAATGCTGAAGGAGACAAAGTGATGGGTTATAGGACAGATGAACGGGGAACGTAAGGCAGAAATTGGGTGATGGTGAGAGGTGGTGTAGGAAAGCAGAAGTCCCAGAGAAGTTCACTTCCCTCTGACTGCGTGCAGACTCCCAAGGTTTGCTCAAACCAGATGAGCAAACATCACCTGAGCACCGTGCTCAAGCAGGGAGCCTTGTCCAAACACCTCCCATCAGCAGCTAAGCAGGCCCGGGCTGTGAGTTCCCAGGGATCGGTGGAGAAAACAAGGATGTTCCTTTGGAAACAAAGGTTGGAAACCCTTGGCTTAGAGGATACTGCCTTCAGGATCTGCAGGGCAGGTGGCAAACCAACCTGAAGAGATCAGTGCCGTGGAGATTTGTCTGCTGCTGGGATCGCCTCAAACCTCTCCATCTGTTCACTGCAACATCCCCTTTTCTCCCCCAAAACACAAACTTGCTCAAGCTTTGGCTGGTGCATTGTGGCAGGACAGATCCCAGCGAGAGGACTGCCCACAGCGTCGTGGGTAAACACCGGAGCCCTGAACAAATACCGGGATTTTCGCGTGAGAAACTTTTCGGAGCCAGATAACGCAGCCAAAAATGAGGTGGCAAACAGCTGCGCTGGGACCCTTCTAGGCACATTCTGGCGCGCTCTCGAGTTTGGTTCAGTGTTCCTCAAACTGGCTGACACATCTGGGCTTCTTCTTGACTACACCCATGAGTGGGCTGAACAAAAATTCGGAGTTTAATGAAATTTTAAATATAATTTTACGGCGCTTTTAATTTCTCATAAAGCAGCAGTTAAAAGGCTTTGGAGATTATGGAACTGCTTATTTTATGATCTAAGTATTGTAAAAACAATCTGCCTCAACCACCGCTGGAATTAGTTATATCGATGTGAAACGCTTTTGTACAAGCGAGAGCAGCCGCCTTGCTTTTTTTCCCTTTCTGTCGCAATCTCCAAATCTGGGTCGTTACGTTTGATTCCCACTACCTCTGAGTTTTGGGAGATGTGGAAAAAGAAACAGCAGCACCAGGAGGTCCCAAAAAGAGCTGAGTATGGAACCGAGGTGAAGAGGCACGGGGCCATTACAAAAAGCACCGTTAAATCTTGGGTTGTGGATGTTATGCTGGAAGACAGCAAACCCCCTTTAAAAAGGAAATTTCTATTCTGAAAAAAAAAAAGCATCCCCTCTTCTATGTATAAGTTTACAGAAATATCGGTGTTAGTTTTGTGTTTTGTTTTTTTTTCCTCCAGAGTTGCTTTTTTTTTCCCCCTCCTTTCAAGTTGGCTCGTTGGGCTGGAGCCAGAACTCGCTCCTAAATTGAGACATAATTAGACGTGTCCTACTGTGTCTTTCTGGACAACTCATTTAACCTCTGCGCCTTATTCCACTCTAGGTTTAAATCAGAGGTGAGAGAATCTCTCTTAACTACATAAAAGGAGCTATATAAAGCCAGGCAATAATAACAAGAGCTACAAGTAATACCTGGCCAGCAGAAAACAATTTAAAATGACTTTTGCACTTTCCTGGACTCGAGCCGTGCCGTCCGTACGCATACATCACTCGTAAAGCTGCACCAAAAGGCTTTCAAACCTTGAACGCACATCTTGGGCAAAAGGTTTTTCCTGGAAAAAAAAAAGCACAGCGGCACCCCAACCTGCAGGAGCGCTGCTCTGCAGCTCCTCGAGTGCTTCGTCCAACAGGAACCTCCTGCAACGGGCTTTCCACAACCTCCCCGGGGGAATAATGCCACAGGAAAAGGGTTCTCATTTTTCACACGTTTCTCTCATCATAGTCAGCCTAATCGGATTTTTACAACCTTGCAGCTTCGTTTTCCCTTGCCTCTTTCACACTGAAACGCTGCTGACGTATATGGGACTACTCACACGACCGAGAAATGCGGGATTTGGCTCCTCGCGTTTATTTAATTTAGTGCTTCTCCCCACTTCTCCAAAAACCGTCTTTCTGAAGGTTATAAAGTGAATAAACTATGCGTGCAGTGCTTTGAATGTGCAAAACGCTATCCAAAAACTGCTGAGTACATTGCTCCAGAGGACGGATTTATTGTGCGGACAAGGGGTCCCCGCACGAGCTCGTGCTCCTCCTCAGCACCACCCGGGCTTGCCTGTGTCTGGAGCCAAACCATAGCCCGAGGCTCGCTTTTGCAGCCATTCCCCTTCGTTACGCTGATGGGACAGCAAATCCAAAAATCAGAAACTATTTTATGAAGCCACTGAGTCTCGAGAATTAATTTACCAGTGTCTTGGCTTAAGCTTAAACCATCACCATTTCCACCTCTGCAATTACTATCCTGTCGTGTACAGAAACACATTTTCTTCTAATGTTTAATATATCTGCTCCAATATAGAATAAATTATCTGCATTGCCTTCAAACCATGCCTAATACACAACTAATTTTTCATTAACTTTTCTCAGCACTCTCTTAACTTGCTTACACTCTTGGTGTTCACAATCTACTTAGAGAAAAGCCTAATAAACTCCGGGACTGAAATTGCGAAGCCCAGTTTCCATACCAGAGAACTCGCTGGACGTGCTCGGAACGGCTATAAAATGCTATTTAAATATGATAAGAACAGCTATAAAACCCTAGTTAAATAAGATAAGTACGTGATAAAGCTGCTAAACTAGGTAAGGCCGGGGCGTCTGGGGAGACGAAAGGGGCTGGAGGCAGAGGCATAAAAAAGCCACATACACAACTAGAGTCATAAGGGCAACGGGATTGGCACCCGCAAATTAGAAAACAAATGAATAAAGACCCTTGAAAATGGAAACACATTTTCTGAATAGAACAGTCTGCTCCGTGGATCTTTTTTTTTTTTTCTGGAAAGCCAAATCTCGATGCGCTGCTTCTCGAAACCAGAAGTAAAAAATCATTCCTGGTGTCAGCAAAGCCGCCCGGGTGCATTCCTGCCCCCCGAAAAGGAAGAAAAGACTTTGTCTGGGCTTCCCGTTCTGCGGCCAGCAGCGGGGTGACAGTGATGGATAGGAAGGTTACAGCCGTGGCATCTGTCTCCAGTCCCCGCCTGCGACGCACCTCGGGTGGAGCGGGTCGCGTCCCGGCTGCTCAGGTTGGCGGCACCTGCTCTTCAGTGTCTGAGTGCTCCTCGCCGAACAATCGCTCCAGCTCGCGTGGAATTTAAGGAATCAGGCTCTTAAAGCTTATATTAAATGGCATCCGTTTTACCCAGCGCCGGGGGCTCTCAGGGAAGAGGTGCTGCTTAGTGACCCAAGTTACCGGTGGGGCGGAAAACGGCAGGGTCACAAGTCTGTTTGCAGCCAAAAGAAAAAGAAGGAAGCTATTACTGATGACAAATGCTTCCTATTATTCTCGGCACCGCAGACCGTCCCTGTGCGGACACAGATTGAGAACGCAGCTGCTGATGGGACACAAATTAGGCAGCCAGAACTTAGGGTTGAAGGCATTCGGGCAAGAAAAATAAGGTCCTGCTCGCATCGAGACAAGTGATGTAGCTGCAAACTTCGGATCTGATTCATTAAACACCGATCCTTCTCCAAGGATCCCCAGCAAAGGTTGCAGTGAATTAGCAAAAGGAGATGGCCCGATCTGAGCAGGGAAAACCCCAATCTCCCTATCAAAACAAAGCCCAGAAGGTGGGTATTTGGAAAAAACTTCCCTAAAAAATCTCCCTCTGCCCTAAAATTAAAGTATCACTTGCATCCGACCCAGCTCAGTGTTTTCCATGGCCTCTGGCCCCGTGATATTTTCGCATGTGGAACACAATACACCAGATTTTAAATGCCATGTGGCTAAAACCTGGCAAATAGGCAAAAAACAGCTCAAAGCGATGGCTGCTGTCTCAAAAATAAAGGACCCGGCCCTACACACAGCACAGGATCAACTGTCCCTATGGGACAGGCGTCCAGCACCTGCCCAGCTCCCAGTCGTCATGGGGACACCGCTGCCGTTCCCTCATCTCTCCGTGGTTACTCATTTGTCCAAACATCATCTTTTTTAACCCAATTTGTACGTCTGCCTTCCACAAACATCCTGCAAGAGCCTCCCACACCCGGAGGTGCAGGGGGACATCGCAGAGCTGCACACCAGGACCTAAGGGCTGCACAGTGCTGCTGCTCTTAGAAAAAAATCACTTCTGGTACGGACTGGCCCCCTTTTTGAGCTTCAATATGTATTTAAAAACAGACCCATCAGGGAGGGAGGTTCCTGCCCAGAGCTGCGCTAGCCCTGCTTTGGATTAAATTGTAAAAATAGGAAGAAGTGAGGCATTCTGTCAGTTGTGTTCTGCATTTTGTTAACACCTACAGACAGCGGGGGAATGAGCAACCTGAGAGAAATCTCAGGATTTCAGAGCTCGCTCAGGTGTTAGCGAGGTGACCCAAAATGAGCAGGGTTGAGCTCAAGCCACGTTGTTGGCACCTGCGATGCTTGCATGCACACCTCCAAACAGATTCAGCCAGTTTGCTTCCACGGCGTCTCTTTCCCGTAACAGTGACTTTGCAAAAAGGGCAGGCTTTGGGGAAAAACTCCCTGCAGCAGATAGGGAAGACAAACAGCTGAGGTTGGGAGAGGACCAGAGCTCCTTAAGAACACAAGCCAGTTATTGTTTTCTGAAACAGCCATTGTGAGTGGACTGATTTCTGTTAGCCCTCCCCATGGTTTACCCACTCGAACTGCTCGTATTTTTAAAATACTCGAAAATACCCCAAAAGCAGGGATGATCTGGAAAGCGTCAATGCAGCATTTAGGAGAAAAAGGAGCAGCAAAGCTTTGATCTCTGAGAATTCGCCGGGCTGCTTGTGTCCTGAAGGTACTGCCAGATGTCCTCCTGGACAGCACCAGCGGGCTCTGACAGCACTGCCCTGGCTCGGGTCCTGACATACGAGTGGGTAAAGCAAAAAAAAATGGGAAATGGGAAATGGGAAATGGGTCTGAATCTTACGTTCGCATTCCTCCACGTCCAGGTTGAACTGCTGCAAGGCGCCCAGCGTCAGCTGCCGCACTTCGGCTTCCAGCAGCAGCTGCATCAGCGAGGTGGACAAGTGCTTGCACGCCGACATGCAGGCGGTCTGCGCCACCTTCCCCTGCAAGAAAAAAGGCAGGCGCGTTAAGGCCACTGAGCACGACAGGGAAAAGAAGCTCCTTGGACCTGGACCGGGTCTCTCCAGTCCGCCCTTTTTTAGTACATCCCATCAGCTTTCAGACCTTGCTCTTGCAGCCATCGTCTTTGAAGGGAATCGATCCCCTTTTGGGACCACGCTGTTAGTAGAATCACAAAAATCACAGAATTTCTAGGTTGGAAGAGACCTCAAGATCGTCAAGTCCAACCTCTAGTAGCAGGGGCAGACCTTGGATGATGGGGAGGGTGCAGGAGCAGCTCAAATCCAGGAAAGCCTCGGGGAATTTAGAGCTCTAGGCAGCTCTCATTACAGCACCCTACCATGGATAAGAAAAAGTGCTCTATTTTATCTGACATCTTGCATCGTCTGAAGTTACCTCGTTGATAAAATTGTGGGGGCAATGACAACTCAAAGCTCCAGCCTGCAACAAACCCAGCACCGACGCATGTTCCACAACAGCAGGGGCACTTTAGGGGCCTGAAACACAAGGGTTGGTTTATAGCCTCTTTGCACGGGGGAGCAGGGTGGCCTCTTTGCACGGGGAGGGACATGAGCTCTGACCGCCAGCGTTATCTGCTCCTGTAAGGACTGCTCCTAAGAGAGCTCCAGAGCACGAAGCAGGCTGGTGCTGAGCGGGTCCTGCACCTCCGGGGACCTGTCCCCCTCGTCTGCTTTTGAGGTTTCTCTCTTGCCGGAGAGCTAATTCCTCTGGTTCGTGTTTTACCGTCTTCCTCGTTAATGCAAACTGCTTTACCTGCATTTCCAGCATCTGTACAGACAAAAGGAAGGCGCCTATTTCCTGCTGGAAGGCTACAGGTGAAGAAACATGTCAGAATTAATACCGATTGTAATAATTTAACACTGATTTTGTTGCTCTCAGGATTTTGTTCCTCTTATTTTTACCAAATAACTTAATCTTTTGCAAATGTTTGACGCCTTTTTTGTATCAACTATTTAAGTTCCTTGAAACCTTTACATTTACTAGGAAAGCACGAGCTGTTATTAGCTTCAGCTACTACGAAAACTGAGTATTGTCAGTAAATATTTATTTTTGAAAACGTTTCCTGTGACCTACAGATTCACTTTTGAGGAACGGAGGCGATCTCAAGCTGTGAATCACCGGAGCAGTCCGTGGCAAGAGGAGTTACCCCAGCTGAGCCTCCCATTTCCCCATCGCAAAACAATGGCAGGGCAGGAGAAGAGCAATCCCCAGCAGCTGTTTCATCAGGATGCACCAAGTTTCGAGCGGCAAGGCTTCAGACAGGAACATGACAAGCTGCAAAATCAGCACGCCGAGGGAAGGCACCGTGTCCGGGGCGAGAAATCACCTTCTGCAGGTGATTCAGTGTACAGCTAATGGGACCTGAAAGGCCAAGCAACGTTTATTTGAGCAGCAGGTTCTGGGCAATGCAAAAATGCCTCTTCCTCATCATCTTCCTCATCTTCCTCGTCCTCCTCACCCAGCAGAGCTGCTCGCTCTGCAGATTTTGGTGCACGCCAGCTCCCATGAACAGCTCTGCACAGACCCGCTTCAATCCATCAGCTGGCCAAACCTGATGCCGTTGGCCCTGAAGGCATCATTTGGCATGCAGAAAACCTTATTTTTTTTTACAGAAAGGGTTTTACTGGAAAGCAAAGCTGGCCACGAAGCATGAATGAAGTGGCTTTGAGAGTAGAGGACAGAACTGAACCTGCAGCCGTGAAGCCTGGGATGTCCCAGGGGAGTTACGATGTCTGAAGAAGAAGGATGTGAAGGAAAGATGATGGTGGGAGGATTCGTGGGAAGCGAGTGGCAGCCCCAGCCAAAAGACAGGAGGGTGCTCAGAAGCCAACAGCTCTTTTAGCTCGAGCCTCCGTGCACCGACCTGGCTGAAGTATCAGCAGCAGAAGAGAGGAGAGCGATGGGCATGGTCACAGAGAACCGAGGTCCTCCGTAAAGCCCCCTGAATGTCTTGAGATGCCCCATGGAGACAGAGGTGGAAAGGTCCCTTCTGTGAGCATCGCAGGTTTCCCAAATCACCACCAAATCGAAGCGATAAGCTTCCAAAACACGTGGCAGAGTTTTGTCCAACCTACCTGAATCTCTCCCTCATTTACAATTACTCCGACGACATCCCTCGATGCTCGAGTACAAAAGTTGTGGCAGATAAAATATTGTAACATGCTTCCGTATGCAGTGTGGGTGTGCAACGTACGTTAAATACACAAAAAGCACAAATATTTTGGCTGGGAGCAGACTCACACGAGCCCTTCGGCCAACGCTGCCCGGACCATCCTGCCCTCAGGTCGGTAAGCATCCGACAACAATTCTGGGAAGCGGAGCTGCCAGGAAAAAGAGCCGGGCTTCAGCCGGACATCACGCCTCCAAACGCACACCAAAGAATTTCGCACGCTTTCGTGGAAACGAGGAGTGGCCGAGGAGATCTCAAGGTTTTTACGAGCATCTTATAAATTTCAGCTGGGATTAACGGGGGGGTTTCACGCGGTGCTCCAGGTGAGGATCAGCGCAGGTTTCGTTGCTGCAGCACGGACAGGTGAGCGCAGTTTTGATCCACGAACTCGGAAGCGCTCTTACCAGCTTCACAAAGTTGTTTCGGATCTACAGGCAACATCCATCTTCAGCAGTCGGAAAAATTCATTTTTTTATTAAAAAAAAAGCGGAGCCCTGCGTTGGAGGGCAGGGTACTTCATCTCCATTGTTTACTGCCGCTCCCAGGCTCCGGGAGCGTTTATTACTCACCCCAAAACAAACACCTGCACTAAAATTAAGATGAAACATGGCAACCGTAAAGTTTAGCAGAGCCACAGGTCGTTGCTCTCCGTCGTTTACTCGTGTTGTTCTGACACATTTGGTTATTTAAAACGCTGCTCGTGCCCATTCCTCATCCCCAGGCGCGGTGGGAAGCCGGCTGCGATTTGTCTTCATTACTTCCAACAGACACTGCAGGTTTTGTTGCGCTCAGGTAGTTGTGATGCTTTATTGAGCAGCTCAGCCCTGGTCCAGATGGGAAGGAGAGGATGAGAAAGCAAAGCTGATGAACTCCGGGACCTGCACACATGCTGGGCATGGGGTGCAGGGCATGCTAAGCCCTCTCGTCCCTCCCTGTGCACCAGGACTCGCTTCCCAATTCTGTCCCAGCTTCAGAAGGACTTCTCCTTCTCAGTTCCTGCTTGGAAAACCATCCAAAAAGCCCAGCGCCGCGTGCTCGCCCATCAGCGTGGCTTTGGGCACAGGCTGCAACCCTCAGAGCACAAACCCCCACGGGTGAAGTCAAAAGGAAGAACCCTGGGAAGGTTTTCTGCCTCGCCAAGAAAAATTTTAGGGGAAAACCCTTCTCGTACATCGAGCAAGGGTGGGATCAGCACCATGGAGGTACCTAAAGGGTTACCTTCGCCTGCAAACACGCCTGCTCCGGTGCACGCATTCCTCCGGCTAGCCGGGCTTGCCCGAATAAAGAGTGAGTGACAAGCGACACTGGGAGGGCGTGAAGAAGAGCAAATAATTGAGATGAAACGTCAAGTTAATAAGCCAAACGCAAGGAGGACGGGAGGGAAAAGTAATTTAATCATCACGGCTTGACAGCACAACAAACTCCGCCGAGCCTTCCCGGCGAAAGCGGCTTGCAGGTTCCTGCAGCGGCGTTTTATCAAATTCTTTGCCAGTTTTTTCCACGGCGCCTCATCGCAGGGAGGGCGAAGGGAATCCAACGGGAGCAGCTGCTGGCACGGCCGCCCCTGCTCCTTCCTTTTCACGTGGGATTTGGCCGGGCCCAAAACCTTTTTCAGGTGCAAACGTGCACTGCGCCTTTGAAAACGCTGAAGCCGAATCTTCTCCTGACAGCCGAGAATCCCCCCTTTTATTTCCATTATTCTTCGGGTTTAAGCACCTAAAACCCGCTCTGTTTTTAAAAAAGAGTTGGCCTTTAATCTCAGCTTTAGGAACATACAGATGGCTGACAGCTTACGCTCAAAATTAGGGGATGAAAGATAAAAGTATACGAAAGACAGTTTTTTGCCTTGTAAGCATTAACCCAGCTTTCCTTTTATTTACTCCTAGAAGGTCTGAAGGTGCCACAGGGGTTGAAGTCATCGTGCTGAACGTCTGGCTAGAGACAGGAGGGTGCAAGAAGCTCCACGGGGGACGACCGCCTCCCCTGATCAGCATCTCCCTCCCTGTGCACAGAGGTTTAAAACCTTCCCAGCATTTTTATTTTTTTCAGCTTTATAAATACAGAGACTCCCAATGACACAGATGCCAGCTACGGCAGCTCCCTGTAAGATCCCTCCTCTTGCTGGCAATGCTTTGCGTGACACAGCCCAGCACACCACCAGCCTCCTTGGCCCAAGAGCACGTTGCTGCTTCACCTCGGTGTCCACCAGGTCCCTTTCTGCAGAGCCACTTCCCACCTGGGCAGCCCTGGTGCCTGCGGTTCCTCCTCCCCAGATTCTTTGGCAGGTATTTACCATACAGATTTACTTCGTAGTCTCCTTTTTTTTTATCTTTTTTTTTTCTGGTTCACTTTGCAGCTTTCCCATGGCGCCAGGGCTGCGAGCAGGATGGCAGCGCCGCCGGGGACGCCGCCGCGCTGCGCTCCCCGACGGCGGCGAGCCGAGCCCCTGATTGACGTGTTTTCCACCAAGCCTCCGAAATCATTAACGGCCCCACCCGCATCGGTGGTGCTGGGACATGTGCCTCGGCGTGGAGATTTTGGCGAGCAGGACGCAGCAGGGGCTGTCAGCCCCAGACGTTGCTCCTCGAAAACCCTGCGCTCCTGCTGTGGGTTGGAGGAGCCACCGCACGCAGCAGGGAGGGCTCAGAGCCCTGCTAATTTCCACCACGGCTTTTGCAAGCGTGTGGTGCAACCGCTGGCGCTCCCAAAGGCTCTTCCCATGCTGGCATCCTAAGAAGTCGCAGGGCTGCGTCCTGATCCTGCTCCACAGCACGCTGCAAAATGAGCTCAGCC